GATAATAATAATAATAATAATAATAATATTATTATTATTATTATTAAAAAAAATTTCTTCGTTTTAAAAAAAGCTGCGTAACTCTCCTCCCTCTCTCCTCTATTCTCTCTCTCCAAAAAAAATAAAGAAACGGTTATTAAAATAAAAAAAAGGGAGAGAAGCATCGCATCTCCCTGGAAGGGATGCCCTCCCTCTCCCATGAAAATGAGTTTCTCTCTCATAGGAAAGGAATAAAATAAATTACTATATATATATCTTAAAAAAAATATATAGAAAAAGCATCTCTCTCCCAGGCATAGCATATTTTGGCGTTTATTTTCCCTCCCGCTCCTATACGCGACTGAAAAAAAACCGCTCGCCGTCGCCGACGCATCCTTCCATTGTCGGTCTTCTCCTCGCCGGCGAAGCATGTCGCCGAACCTCTCCTACCCGCGAGAGAGAGAGAGAGAGAGAAAGCTTGCATGGAGTCTCTCCCACTTTGGCCGCACCTCCTCCTCGCCGTCGACGAAAACCGACGCCGTCGCCGGACATCCTCCAGTCGTCGGCCTCCTTGCGCCGAGATCCGGCCGACCTCAGCCCCATCCTACGCAGAACTCTGGCTTTTTCGCCGCCTTCCTTTTTTCTTTCAGTCGGCCGAACTTCGGCCTCCTGCCTCGTCGCTGATGTGCCGCAAGTAGTCCTCGCAACAAACAAAAATACAAAAATCCCATTTTTTATTCTTTGTTTCGAACTACTATCCAAAACTCGGGAGGCAGAAAGAAAGAGGTAGATTCAGTTTAAACCTTGCTCTAAATCCTCTATTATATGTCATAAATTTGATTCATAGATATGAAATCCTATCACATTAATGATTTAATTTGTAGAATTTCAAGGCATTGAGGATTAAGATAAATCAAAATTATTCTTTTGTGAGTTTGTCTTACTTTGATTAAGAAGATGTCGATCTTTTGTGATTTGCAAATAAACATGAGTGCATCTTTTGTTAAAAAAAATAATAATAATAAATGAAAATTGTGGTAACGATTTGTTCTGATATCTTCCATTGTTGGGGAACAATGTAGACGAGCTCGTTGCATAGAATCTTCATGCAAAATTTCTGTGACTTTTCTGGGAAAACTTCCCCTCTTTCGTAAGCCTAAGTGAACCTTGTTCAAAGGTATGTTTTGGTTATATTTTTATATGCCAAAATCAGTTATTTTTCTCATACTTTGCATACCTCACGTGCTATTTCCTACTTTCCCGTTGTTTTGTTGCGAGATTCACCGGAAAGCGGACCATACCTCACTGCTTCCTATTTCCTATTCTCCTCGTTGCATGATTCATTGTGGGACGCACTGGAGCACGGAATGGACGTCTACGGCTCGGGGCAAAAAAAGAGAACGCGTCTGCAACCTTCGCGGTGGTGAGATCCCCTAAACTTCTAGCTAGCCTTAGGTTTAGTGGTGT